CAACAACAACATCATCAACATCCACAACAACATCATCAACATCAACATCATCAACATCAACAACAACATCATCAACATCGACAACAACATCATCAACATCCACAACAACATCAACCACTTCATCATCAACAACACCGGTCGGTCAGTAATATGCTTGATAATGTGTTGTACTTTTTATAGCTTTTAAACCGATGGTTAGTTTCACTAACCGAAAAACGTTTGAGATCTTATCGTTCAAATGTTTATCATTACGATGAACAAATGAAACTTATTTGGAGATTCGCTTAAGTGTCTTTTGTAGGAGTGCCATGTCTAGACGTAACAAATTGTAGCCATCATGTTGATGGTGGAGACCTCCGCTGCGAGAGCCAACATTAAAAAAAACGGACATTGATTCGGCCGTGTTACTGACGATTACTTTTTTAGAAAAAAGTGTCATTAGTAAAACAGCACTAGAGTATAGTAGTATAACGGAGATTTTACCAGCGAGAACTAAGCCTCGTTGTTGTTGCCTTTCCTTTAATTACTCCTCGCTAGCCCGTATTTAGTCTTGTCCACCAGTGTCCTTCATTTTTTCTCTCGAGGTAGTTTTTGATCAATCAGCGGGGGTTGCACGGAGTTAAAAGCGGACCTGTATCGGAGTCTATAAGATGTTGTGCTCATAAACCAGACTAAATACTAGAAGTTTTATTAATTGTGATTTGTGTTTTTCGATATTTACTCTACTAGCTATCGTATCTCTCAAATTCATTTGTTGTTCTTTGGAAACTGTGAACTAAAAAAAAGGCAGAGTCTACATTGGCGCCGACTTTTTTTTACATGTATAAAGTCTTGAGAGAACAGTAATCAAATCTGAAAAATATATCCATTTGTAGAATAAGTATTGAAGAACACAACTTACAAGAAGTAAAATGTGTAATGCTTAGTTTTATTTAATGGTACAACATCTGGTAGATTCTGATGTAATTCCGTTTTTAACTCCGTGCATATCTGTATCAATCCGTGAAAAAAAGACCCAGAATGACGCAAACAGATAACGTAGTTGTGTTGAGCTATTCTCAACGGGAACGAGAAAAGAGTATGGATGCACAGGTAATTGAAGATTCTTGGAAAGTAGAATTTAGAATTTTGTAGACATATTGTTGGTTTATGTGACACAGAATTATCCTATTGTTTATAGAATTTCATGTTACGATGGAACTTTGATAAACAGGAATGATATATATGATGAAATGAAATTCTGAATAAATGTATAGAATTCTGCTTGGTGGGTATTGTGAATTCCCTTAGTGAAAGATATCATAAAGCTCGGTTAAAGGAAGCGCAAGTTTTAAGTAGAGTAAGATGACTTCATTGATTTTTCAAATTGACGAGAAGTTTTCACATAGAGATGGATAGAATGGCTGAAAATTGACCTTAGTTATGCTCTAGAATATCTGAAATTGCCCAAAATTCAGTAACATAATCGTTTCGATTTAATTGTGTTCAATTAAGTTAAACTCTCAAAGACTGAATAAAATACGACGATTAAAAACTGTCTATGTGCCAGTACAAATGTGAGAGCAAACTTTTTGTATTTAATAGGCTGCAGTACGTTTCTTAATCAAACTACTTACCCAGTTGGTCTTCAACCAATGTCAGTAGTAGTCGTCGATGTGAATAGCGACAATAAACCCGATATTGTTGTTGCAAACTATGGTTCGAACAACACCGGTGTTCTTCTCAACACAGGCAATGGCATCTTCAGTGCTCAAACTATTTACTTAGTTGGTTATCAGCCATATTCAGTAGCAGTCGTCGATGTCAATAGCGACAACAAATCTGACATTATTGTTACAAACCAGCTTTCAAATACCGTCAGTGTTCTTCTCAACGCAGGCAATGGCACCTTTAATGCTCAAACTACTTACTCAGTTGATGCTTATCCAATGTCAGTAGCAGTCGTTGATGTGAATAGCGACAATAAACCCGATATTGTTGTTGGAAACTATCTAACGAACACCGTCGGCGTTCTTCTGAATGCAGGCAACGGCACCTTCAGTGCTCAAACTACTTACGCAGTTATTAGTCATACAATGTCGGTAACAGTCGTCGATGTGAATAGCGACAATAAACCCGATATCGTTGCTGCAAACTATGGTTCGACCACCGTCAGCGTTCTTCTCAACGCAGGCAACGGCACCTTCAATGCTCAAACTACTTACTCGGTTGGTACTGGCCCATATTCAATAGCAGTCGTCGATGTGAATAGCGACAGTAAACCCGATATTGTTGTTGCAAACAGGAATTCGAACAATGTCGGTGTTCTTTTCAACACAGGCAACGGCACCTTTAATGCTCAAACTACTTACGGAGTTGGCGCTGCTCCTGAAGCAGTAGCAGTGGTCGATGTGAATAGCGACAATAAACCCGATATTGTTGTTGCAAACTATATTTCGAACACCGTCAGTGTTCTTCTGAACACAGGCAACGGCATCTTTAGTGCTGCAACTAATTACACAGTTGGTAGCGCTCCAATATCACTAGCAGTCGTCGATGTGAATAGCGACAATAAACCCGATATTGTTATTGCAAACTCTAATTCGAACACCGTCAGTGTTCTCTTGCATTGCTAGTGTCTATCGATGATTAACCTTTATCTATTCATTAACACTTTATTACTCTACTAAGTATATTGCGCTTATAAAACATTACATGATACATACTAACATTTATCTTCACTCTATATCAAGAATTTCAACAAAACTTTGCGAACAAGATCGCCACCTCTTCTGCTTTTTCAATTTTTTTCTGCTTTTTAAAATATTATCTGCTTTTCATTTTTAACTCAATTTCAGTTCTAATAAATCATTACTGCATACATATCCGATGAATTCTTAGTGACGTATATTATTATTCTTTTGTCGTCTTTGTTGTATAATGGAAATTAGTAAGATGGCGATCTCGGATTTATAATAGTTAATAAAAACGGTTAATATACACGCCACTTCTTGAAGCTGTTCTTTACCGATATTTTTCTTCTTGAAGTATTTTCTACCAATCATCCGCAAATCTTTCAATTCATTGTAAAGAATCTTCTGTCTATTGTTCGTTGTGGGTTAAGAATATAATAAGCTGTAATACTTGTACTTAGCAGAAAAAAATGACTGAGCCTAATGATAGCCATATTGATTAAGATGAAGATAGTGAAGCATTGATAACAATAGAGTCACAAATATCATCCAATGATAAATCAGAAAAAAGAAGTTAAAAAAGGAATATTTAACAGAGAATAATTAAAGATCATCGAATATGATTTATTTTTGAAAGAATACAAACTTGATGCAACTCAGACCACATGCATTGCTTCCAATCAGCAATTTTCAGTACATTATCGAGGAAAAGCTGATATTGACTATCATATAAAAACTCAAAAGCATCAAAACAATTATAGACCATTTAATATTAATCGATAATTAATTACAAAAACAATGAAATTATCAAACGAAAAATGTGAAATTTCTGCTACCAATGCTGTTCTGCTTTATCATGATGTAAAGCATGGTCATTCATATTTATATCAACAATGCATAGTGAATGTTTGTAAAAGAATATTCTCGTTCTCTACAAAAGCAACTCATTTATTGCTTTGAATATTTTTTCACCATGCTTTACACACAATTCGATTGATGATTTGAAAAGCGTATTGCATTATTGGTTGATATATGATGCTAGTAAAAAAAGGAAATATTAAAATGTATCCACTTTGTGTACGGTTCTTATTCACAAATGGTGTCAGAAAAGGTATTGTTCTTCTGAATTTAATTTATCGTTGCAACAATATTGCTAGATTATTTGAGGCCTTTTGGAATTGATAACAGATGAAAACGAAACAGCGGATAATGTTTTTGTTATTGCTAGACAATTGATTGGTAATAATTATTTGAATATTAATGAATTAACATTTGTAGGTGCTGATAATATCAATTCCAACGTTGGTGAAAATCACTCAGTTTTTTCTCTTTTAAAGATGAACTATCTGATATATAAATGGGTAAGATAGTTCTAACTATTTAAAGAAAATAAACAGATCTCTGTTAATCTTATTATTTGATCTTTTCAGTTTAGAATAAGTTTTTAAAAGATAATTTTAAATACTATGGAAATTGCTATTCACATATACTTCATGATGCTGTTAAGCATGCTCATTGTGAACGATCTATCACTGTGGAACACATTTTGCTATTGATTTATGCTCATTTTTCACGTTCTACAAAACGCATTAGTAAATAAAAGAATACTATGATTTCTATGAATAAGATTACAAGGTAAAAATTTCTCGAATGATGTCGTTGCCGATCAGCAACACAATTACATATATCTTTTTCGTTGCAGATGATCTTGAAATATATAAAATTTAGATGGTTAAGTTTATACTTATCTAATGAACGCTTAGTTGAAATTTATGTACCTGTAAAGAAGTATTTCCTTGATCAACATGATAAACGTTCATTAGATATAAAACAATTCTTCGAGTTTGATGAGTTTACGTGTGTATTGAGCTTTTTACAGAATATACTGTTCGAACTTCGTAGAAAAAACCTTGAACTGCAATGTTGTTATACAACAGGTGTCGATTTGTACAGAATAATTACACGAATTAAGACAAGATTACAAGAGCGACTTGATTCAAAATTTTTTGGTCCAGCTTGTCGATATAAATCATTACGTTTACCAGCTGATAAACAGGAAGTTTTAAAATCATCTTTTGTGAAATTTTTACATACAATTATTGATTATATTGGTTCCTGTTTCAACCATAATATCGGTTTTTTTTATCAATCAGCTATTTTGGACAAGTAAATATTTCAGATTCATCATGGGTATGGGTGTGGGTATAGGTGGGTGAGACCGGGGGTGTGAATCTGGATAGTTACATTCTTTCACACCCACACCCACACTCACATCCTTAATCCAAATCATTTACATCACTCGAAATTTCATTGCATAATAATCAACATGATCGATGGTTGAACAACAAAAATAGAGTGATGTTCACATGATGGGTGAATGTTATGAAATTCAGATAAGAAAATAAACTATCGTATTCTCTATGAATATCAATAAATCATTTTCAGAAATTAAAATTAAAATATTATGTAACAAATAGTAGAAATATTTATTAAATGAGTATTCACAAGATATAAACTTAATTTAGTTATAAACTCTTGTCGAAATATGTTACAAAGAAATAGAAATTCTACAGATCTATCTAGAAATGATGGAAATAATAAACTATTTCGTTCTATAAATACTGAAGTTGATATAAAAAGAATGATCTTTTGAGTATTATTTTTGGGCAAAGAGATAGTTTAATATTAATTTCTGAATAGAGAAAAAGTGAAGATATTAGTAAGAAAGTAACATTTATACTATAGTCCGACTAGTTACTCAAAGCATTTTGATGTTTTTTATTATCATAGTTCAGTATCTACAAACTTCAACGGCATGGCTCAGATGATGTCAAAGAATATTTGATTGTTTTTTTCATCATTTAGCTTGAGAGAATACAAAGATGAAATTCAATATTGATTAATACATATAAAACTATAATTTGGCAAAAATAATGGTCAAGAAATTTGTCACAATCTAATAAAAGTTTCAATCATCAACTTTATGTTTTTTAATTGCATAATTATTTATCAAA